GAGCTGCCGATTCGCCCCCGGTACGCTGCCTACCTGCTTATCAATAATGTTGATTGAAGAGCTAATCATATAACACACATAGTGAGAATTGTTCCTGTGATGTATCATACGTATGTCGATTTGAAGTACTTTATTCAGTCAGCAGCTATAAGTACTCATCCAGTCGAGGCGTGGTTTGTAAATGATGCTTTGGGTACCTAGTACCATGCTTCGGCAGTTGTTCCCACTAGCCAGTGATGATGTCAAGATCGCTCCTTAGGTAGGCGGGTGTCAAACTTTGTTCTCTCCGGTTGCATACATAATTAGAAAGGGCAACACAACCCACAATAATCCAGAACCAACTTCGGGCACCTTCAACTGCCAACTAATTCGAGTGCCCAAATACGATTTTGAACATTTCATTCTTTCACCCAATTGGTTGTATACTATATTTCTATAAGTAGCCGAGCTTGGTGACTGCTACCTTACCTGTCCCGTCCCGCATTGGTGCGTTGATTGTGACGCCTCAGCACAGCTAGCATCCGCAGGATCAATATTGACTAACTTTCCATCTCAAGCCGGTATTTTTTTTCTCGAAGATGGATTCTGCTGGTCAAAGCAGCCATCTTGTCACAATACCCGATTCCGCCGATTCTGGAACAGCTGGTACTACTGCGAGCCCAGTTATCCTAGGGACCCCTGCAGTCGTGACCCCCAACCAGGATAAGACAGTCTCGAGCTCAGCACATGAAAATCCAATTGGTGCACAATCCCTTCATGCAAGCACGCGCAAGTCAGATCGTATAATGGAGTCTCAAATCAGCGGTCAGGAAAACCATGGCATTCGGTCATTGACCGGAGCGCCCAGAAGACTCAGTGCAAGCACAGCTACAAGCTCCATAAGTGAAACTGAGCCTTCTTTGCCGAAGTTAGGCAGAATCGGTGTTTGTGCTTTGGATGTCAAGGCTCGCAGCAAGCCCAGCCAAAATATACTGACCCGCCTGCAAGCTAAAGGGGGTTTCGAAGTAATCGTCTTCGGTGACAAGGTTATTCTTGACGAGGCTGTAGAAAATTGGCCAGTTTGTGAATACCTCATAGCATTCTTTTCGGATGGGTTTCCATTGGACAAAGCTATCGCATATGCAAGACTTCGAAAACCATTTTGCGTCAATGATTTACCCATGCAAAAGGTGCTATGGGACCGTCGACTTTGTCTCAGAATACTAGATCATATGGGTGTGCCCTCTCCCAAGAGAATGGAAGTTAACAGAGACGGTGGACCGATTTTGGAATCTGCTGAACTTGCTCAACATGTATATAGGATGACAGGGGTCAAACTTGAAGGGCCCAGCGACGGCACTGGAGGTGGGGCGTCTCGAACAATGAATGTCACAATGTCTGATGATGGTGATTCTTTAATTGTTGACGGCAAAGTTCTCAAGAAGCCGTTCGTTGAGAAGCCGGTGAACGGAGAAGACCACAATATTCACATATACTTCCCAAACGACCAACAATATGGGGGTGGGGGCAGGAGACTTTTCCGCAAAGTCGGTAACAAAAGCTCCGAATATGATCCCAACCTCATTGTTCCCAGATCGATAACGGAAAATGATACGAGCTACATATACGAGCAGTTCCTTAGGGTCGATAATTCCGAAGATGTCAAAGCCTACACGGTTGGACCGGATTTTTGCCATGCCGAAACACGGAAGTCTCCTGTAGTTGATGGGCTTGTTCGTCGCAATACACATGGAAAAGAAATTCGATACATTACGAAGCTGAGCAAAGACGAAGCATCGATTGCGTCGAAAATCTCAAATGGATTTGGGCAGAGAATCTGCGGTTTTGACATGCTCCGTGTTGGCGAGAAGAGCTATGTGATCGACGTGAATGGCTGGAGTTTTGTCAAAGATAATAACGACTATTACGACAAATGCGCTGGGATATTGAGGGACATTTTTCTGAATGAGAAGCGCCGATGCGACGGTTTACCAGAGCCATCTGACTCGCTGCCTCAGGAATCTAGCCACAACTGGAGGCATTCGATATCACACAGGACTACTTTAAAGACCCTATTGAAATCCCCTAGCTCGTCAAAGCTTCAGGGGCCTCAACAAAGCATCAACAGCTCTGAAACCGGATCATCCGAGTCTATTGTCAACCGGCCGATTACATCGCCTTCAGGCGAGAGCCTGGACAATGGAAGCAGTCACAAAAGCCCCATCGCACGGGAAAAAAATGCAACTACAAGGTCCTATGATCCGCAAAACCTGAAATCGTCTATAGTGTCAGTGGATTCATCCATCGATGGCTGTCCGCCCCCTCCCCCTGCCTCCAAGCACTCCTGGAAATTGAAGGGTATGGTCGCAGTTATAAGACACGCCGATCGCACACCAAAACAGAAGTTCAAGTTTACTTTCCACAGTCAACCTTTTATTGACCTACTGAAAGGTCACCAAGAAGAGGTGGTCATCAAAGGCGAAGCCGCATTGGCCAGTGTTTCGGAAGCAGTAAAAGTTGCTATGAAAGAAGAGCTCGAGGATTTGGATAAGCTGAAGTTACTTCGCACATCGTTGGAGAGAAAAGGCGGTTGGCCAGGCACAAAGGTACAAATCAAGCCAATGTTCCGCAAGAGGAGACCCGAGGAGTTACGAGGACAGTCACCCTCTACTCTCATCACGACCCACCTTGCTGCGCAGTCTCAAGACGAATCCTCCCAGCCCACGCCCTGCCACGACCGAAGTTTGACAGAAGATAGAACTGGTCGTCCCCAAACGCGAAGCGACTCAATCTCGGGTGCTACGTTTTCGAGGTTCTCTGCTGCGGAGAATGACCTTATCTTAGATAAACTTCAGCTCGTCATCAAGTGGGGAGGTGAACCGACCCATGCTGCACGCTATCAGTCGCAAGATCTAGGGCTCAATATGCGTGATGATTTGAAATTGATGAATAAAGAGGCATTGAATAATGTCCGTATTTTTACCAGCTCGGAGAGAAGGGTGAGCACTAGTGGTAAGTTGGACCCTTCGGATATAAATGGGTGAAACGACTCTGACTTGCTGTCTTAGCTCAAATCTGGGCCTGCGCTTTTCTTGACCAGAAGGAACTTCCTGAGAACTTCATTCAAGTACGAAAGGATCTTCTTGATGACTCCAATGCCGCAAAGGATCTTATGGACAAGGTTAAGAAAAAGTTGAAACTGCTTCTTCGGGAAGGATCTGCACCATCACAATTTACCTGGCCAAAAGACAATATCCCCGAGCCATCAGTGGTCCTGGCAACTGTTGTCGAGTTAATGAAATACCACCGAGATGTTATGAGACATAACTTCCGGATGATCGACAAGTCATCGCCAAAGCCGTTGGTATCTGTTCCTCCTGATAATCATGATGGGGGCCGCGCCCGCCACTCGGATGCTGAGTACGAGAACCCTGCATTGGACTCCATCCAAGGACGTTGGTGTACCGGAGAAGACCCGATGCTCTTCAAGGAGAGATGGGAAAAACTATTCGCCGAGTTCTGCGATACGGAGAAGGTCGATCCAAGCAAGCTTTCTGAGCTCTATGATAGCATGAAATTCGATGCCCTACACAATCGGCAATTTCTAGAATGGGTTTTCATGCCGCCAGATAGTGATGACAGCGAGGACGAACAAAATGTTCATAGCTGGAAGAAAATCACACGAGAAGACCTGCTTGGAGATACCAAAACAAACAAAGATGGTGTAATTCCCGAGAAAAGTGATGGACCGGCCGAATCGTCATCCTTTGCTCATCGCTTTGGCTGGAAAAAGCGCATGCACGCCTTCGATTCAATGCCACATTTTAGAGGGCTTGATGACACATATGACCACTACTTCAAATTATACCCTGGGTCCAGTCCCTCGAAGTGTAAACTGGATGGAAGACTATCGAAACTGCGAGAGCTATATAAGTTGGCCAAAGTTCTTTTTGACTACGTGACTCCACAGGAATACGGAATTACAGACACGGAAAAGCTCGAAATTGGCTTGCTCACGTCGTTGCCCCTTCTACAGGGAATAGTCAGAGATCTCGAGGAGGTTCAGGCCTCCTCTGATGCGAAGTCTTTCTTTTACTTCACCAAAGAGTCTCACATCTACACCCTGCTCAATTGCATACTGGAAGGAGGGATTCAAACCAAAATAGCCAGGACAGCTATACCCGAGCTGGACTACCTTTCACAGATATGCTTCGAGCTTTATGAAGCTAAGGACTGTGAGTCCTCAACTAGTTCCTACTCCATTCGCATATCTATCAGCCCTGGATGCCATGCTTTTGACCCTCTAGATGTTCAGCTTGATTCTAGACATGCTATTGGCTGTGCTCCTAGACGAAGCCTGACACCCCATCAAGATTGGAAGGAAGTCATAGAAACACTAAAGGCGAAGTTCGATACGTAAGTATACTTTCTAGATCTATAGCTCGCAGTGGTAGAGATGCTGACCAGAGTGCTTTAGTGTCAGTTTACCAAAGACCTTTATCGCTGTGAATTTGAGTGACAAACATGTACCCGCTCGGGATACCTCACCACCAGAACTGAACAGCATCTAGCTTAGATGCAAACACTCGACCGGGCGAATGGGTTTGATCGCTTGCTATCCTAGAATTCCTATCTCCTGGTCTTAATTCAGCCGAGCTTAGAAACAATCTCGATGCCAATAGACCGTGTTATGTACGGTAGTGTATATCTGCTGCTACCTATCGTTCTAAATTGGAAGGCCTTGCGTTGCTCGCGAGTTGCCTCTCATAAAACAGATTATCATGGAAGCATAGACTACTACTCGCTCTGAACTAAAGCCTTCCTGATACATATGTGTCCATTCGACGAGATGCAGTGCAACCTAAAATGCAAAATTACAGGCAGTGGGTAATAATAATACCGGTTAAGTCAAAGCATTGATCACTGACTTATGCTTGAAAGACTTAGCAATAATTGACTAAGCAAAACGTAGAAGAACGGCCACTTAAAGTATACCTACCAATTAACTCCAAGCTGGTCCGGTCCTAACAGACTACTAGTAGGTACTGTAGGTACCTAGTGCTCAAGTGGAACCCATCAACTATCGGGAAATCAGGTTCTACTAATGACCCCCGCCCTCTGCCCCATCCTCGGTCAGCAAGCAACCAGACCAGCAAGCCGCCTAAAGTCGGTATATCATATCCAACACCGACTTCAAGGAACTTTGCCTGTCAGTCTGACCTATATTGAGCCCGCCAACTTGGCACAAGTACCGCATTTGACGCTCCTATTTCCAAATACATCTCGAGGAGCCTTGCCTTGAGAACTGCCGATATGGCACCCGCATTAGGCCCAGATAATGAGAGCTTCCAATGCGAACTGAACGGACATGAGATCCAATGCAGACACCCGCAAACGCAGAAAGAGATTATCATCTCAATCAATAACTTAATCTGTATCTTGTCCCGAGGCGATAAGCTTGAGGCTCCCAGGCATGTTATGCTGTTTTTGTGGCTCGATGAGAACGAGTTTGAGGTCTCGAGGGAGTGTATGTCACTCCAAAGTATTGAAGTACTTTCATTACCTGCGCAGCTGTCCAAATTCGTCTGCTCAGATATACCTCCCTACCTCGGGACTTTCACTCACGAACAGGTGGAAAAGGTAAATATCCATGTGATCATATCAACCACTTCTGGCACACATACAGGCATGAGTGTGTTCAAAAATATCCTGAGCCCCCTCTTATCGCAACTTGGAGTGCGCGAGTATGCAGTGCATGAGACCCGGACCACACAGACAATAGTCGAACTGTGCCACACAAAACTGATGCCCTGCGCTCAAGCGGGCATCAAGCAAACAATAATTCTACTTTCAGGCGATGGAGGTCTGACTGACATCATCGACTCCTTCCATGGTACAGCAATACAATATCTTGCCAAGCCTATCATTGCCCTGATCCCAACCGGAACAGGCAATGCCATGGCCAGTTCAATAGGGCTCCTAAAAAGTCGAGCGGCTGGACTTTCCGCATTATTGCATGGGCATCCCGCCCCTATACCTGCCTTCTTGGCTACTTTCTCAGCTGGTTCAAAGCTTGTTACAGAAGCGGGCAGCGGAAGAGTCAATATCAATTCACACTCGCAGAGCAAAACTGGTCACCCTACAGTATACGGTGGTGTTGTCGCAAGTTGGGGTTTGCATGCTGCGTTGGTGGCGGATAGTGATACTGCTGAGTACCGCAAGTATGGAGCGGAGAGATTCCAGATGGCTGCAAAGGAGATCCTATTCCCCTCAAATGGTGACGATCCCCATAAGTTCCGCGGTAGTATCAGCTTCACATGGCGTGATCGCCAGACCAATAAGCGACATACGGAGGCTTTGGGATGTGAAGAGCACATGTACGTGTTGGTAACTTTGGTGTCGAACCTGGAACCAGGTTTCACGATATCACCTTTGTCAGCTCCGTTGGATGGCTGCCTGAGAATCATACATTTCGGACCAATGACGTCGGAACAGGCAATGAACTTGATGAGCAATGCGTATCAAGGAGGCAAGCATGTCAATGACGCCAGAGTGACTTATCGTGAAATCGAGAGCATCCGAATAACCCTGGGCGAGGTCGACGAGAGATGGAGAAAAGTTTGTATAGATGGCAAGATTATCGCTGTTGAGAGTGGCGGCTGGCTCGAAGTACAGAAAATCTCGGAGCACTATCTCAACATTCTCATACCTGCTCACGGTGATTCCGATGTCTGGTTGAGAGGCGTAAGCTAGCGTTGCCGAGGATTTCAGAGTGTCATGTACATGCTGGATTTTAGGGAGGTTGGGTCGGACACGCCCAGAGTACCGAGGTATTTTTACATCTTCTTACTTTAGAGCTACCAGGATGTTTCATCAGGATGTTGTCCAGGGCCTGGGGCACTGTTATTAAGGCTTTTTGATGTGATTGGTACACAAATAAATTATACCAGCAGTAGAAACAGCTCTCTATTATTACAGTGGGAGGAAAGTAGACTGTGTACTCCCCCCACCAAATTGTTTGGTTCCAAGCGCCACTTTCCGCATCACCGCCTTCCTATTTACTCTTGTTAACAAAAATATACGGTACAGCATATTATACAAAGTACTGAGGATTTGGCGGTGGTGGCTTTTGCCGGCAGAATAAGGGTGTAACCAGTCCTAAATAGGAATAAGACGAACTTCTTGTGGAGGGAGTATGCAGACTACTTTCCAGTGACTGTAGCTGATTTGTAGTTGCTAGCTTTATGGTGAGTCGCCGGCCCCAACCTATAGTATAGGACTGCAGTAACAGTAATACTATGCTGCAGTGTTAAGGGTCTTCTGTAAGCTGGAATAGTAAGTTGTATACATGTTCTATGTTTTGTAAGTAACCTACAATTTCTTATTAAGAAGATAGATAATCTACTGAGAATATCTTTTAGGTTTTTCAAGTAGTAAAGGTTCTAAGTCGCCGACCCCAGCCTGCGGCATGGGTCTTTTGATTAAGGTGATTGATGGTTTCGGTAGGCGGTATACAAGGCGGCTTGCTAAAAGACGGCAAAATAGACCATATGACAAACGCCACAGTATAAATTTAGCAAGAATTAATGCTTGTCTATTAGAATAGATACAAATTCTAGTCTACATATTATAGATAAATTATGTTGGTATTCAGTAGAGAATTGAAATATTTTGTAATAAGCTTGTAGAATACCTTGAATATTACAACAGTAGCAGAATATACAAAGGAGGTAAAAAGTGGTAAAAATAGAACAAAGGGCCAAGTGTATATCTGTCAGGTTTAACCAGATTTAGTATGCTGTATTTAAATAATGTTTTACAGAGTAATTATATAAGACTTTTGTTTCAATACTGAACCACAGAGGATGGATGTTATCTGTGAGGATAGTTGCCAAGGGTGAGAATTGAATGGATCATAAATAGGCCTTGCCAAAGCCTGCAGGTTCACAGGTCAGATCCAAACCCAACCTAGTTTTTGGCGGGGTTTGGATTAATAGGCTTAACCTACAGATTAAATATAGATTTAGATATTTAATTTATAAATTTTTAGTAGATACCTATAAATTATTAAACAAAATAAATACTATATAATTAATAGATTATATAAGTTATACAGTTTTAGCTGTATTTTTAAAATATTATACTTATATTTAAAATAATCTAGTATAGAAAATATTAAATTATATATAAGTTTACAATAGTAGAAGCTAAAAAATTAGATTTATTTTAATATAATATATATTTAATATAAAATAAATTAATTATTATTATAATATAAATACTTTTTAATTCCATTTAATATCTATAGCTACATTTTTAAAAGAGAATTATTTTTTTTTATTTTTTTATTATTTTTTTAGTTATTAAAACTGTTTAGTTTTTATTTATATTAAAAATAATATTTTTTATTTGTTATATATTTTAAATAAAACTGGTATTTTTAGTTATTAAAGAACAGATTCTTTTATTATTTTTTATTTATTATTATAACTATTTTTATTATTACTAATCAGCTTAATACTTTTCTTAAGAAAACTATACTTCTTTTTTAGTTAACTTTAATTTTTTTAGAAATTTTTTTCTAGATAATAGTCTTTTTTCCTACTTAAAACTATATTATATACTTATAGAATATAAGTTTTTATATTATAATTATATTTAGTAAATCTTAGCAGTAGTAATAAATATTTTAAACTAAATTAAAAAAATTACTTAATACTAGTATTAGTAGTAGAAATAAAAAATATATTATAAATAAGTTTTATAAATAAAAAATATATATACTAATTATTTTTTTAGAATATCTAAACCAGTATAGCAGAAACAGTAGCTAAAGTAAATATTAAAAAAACTTAAAATAAAAAAAATATATAACTATTAAAATAATTTATAAAATTATTCTTCTCATCTTCTAGACTAAATTAATCTAATCCTATTATTTAAAAAAAAATTAATATTATTATTTAGTTAAAAAATTTTAAAGTATTACTTTTAACTATTATTTTAACTCTACTTATTAATATAGCTTAAAATATTTAATAAGACTTTTCTAATATTTAATAGTCTATTTTAAATTTTAAATTTTATTTTTAAAAACCTAAAGTTTACATTATAATATAAGTATTATATTAATAGTAAAAATATTATTTTCTATATTATCTCTTTTACTATAGTAATAAAAAAGCTTTATTTATATTATATAAAAACTAGTAAGCATCAGCTTTTTTATAATATATTCTTTTATTTAAACTATTTAATAGATTTTTTAAATATTTAAAAAGTTTATTATAAATAGTAAAAGTTAGATAGATAATAGTATTTTTAATTTTAAATAATACTATAGTATATTTAAAAAATAGGTATATAATTTATAGTAAATAGTTAATTTACTGCTACTAGTTTTAATTAAGCTTAAAATATAAATAACTATACTTTAGATAGAACTTATTTAAAAATAATTATAAATATTTTATATATTAATATAAAAAAATTAAGTTTTAGTATATCTAGATATTTTAAATTAGTAATAATACTAGTAAATTAAACTATAGCTTATAAAAAGCCTTCTAGTATTAAAAACTAGTATTAATAAAAACTAAAAGACTTTAAAGCTATAATTAAAATCTTAGTAATAAAATAGCTTTGAAAAATAAAATAATAAAACTGTTAAGAAGCAGGCTGGCGTCTGGTTCTTAGTCTAGCTGGGTAGTAGAAGTCACAGCTCTAGCTAAATAATTTTCTATAACTAGTTTTTTAATTTTTTTATTAGCTACTAAATTAGTATATTTTTAGATTTATAGATAAAATATAGTTTAAAAAGCTATAAATAGAATTAGAAATAGATAAAAAATTCAAAAAGTTTAGTATATTATATATAAAACAGTTAAAAAGGGCAGTAAGATTACTAAAATAAAAAAATAAAATAAAATTAAATAAATAAAATAAATAAAAAAAGTAAAATAAATTAGATAGATACTTTAAATCTATACTATAATAGTACATCCCCTTTTTAAAGCTAAGCTCTGTTAAGGTGTAGATTATAATTTATTGAAATAAAAATAATAAAATTTTTTAACTATTTAATAAATATTTTTTAAATACTAAACTAGTTTAGTAGTTAAATCTAAATATTTATTTTATTTTATAATATATATTAGTTAAAGGCGGCTATTTTTTTTATAGTTTTATATAAAATTTAAAATATTTTTAGTTTTTTATTTTTTAAACTGTTAATTTTTATATATAATAGTAAAAGTTAGTATTAGTCTAAAACTAATTTTTTACTAGTAGAAATAAATAAACTAGTATTAAATATAAAATATATTTTTATACTAGAAAAAAAGGCTAGCTGGTAGATATATAAGCTAAAAATCTTTTTAATTTTATATAATTTTAAAATATTTTAATAAAGTTTTTTACTGGATTTTAGTATTTTAATATTATAAATATTTAGCTATACTTCTTATTTTTTTAAAATTTTTTTAAAAATTTATATTATTATTTTATTTATTTTATATATTAGATTTAGATAGTAGATATTTCTACTTTAATAAATTTAATAATAATTTATATTTTTATAATAAACTAGTTTATATCTTTAAATAGCTAGACTATTTAAAATTGCTATAAACTTAAAATTTATTTAAAAATATGTCAACAATGTGGGCAGATTGGCCAGTTGGCAGCCTCAGGCTCGCCAGTTCGCGGCCTCGGGCTCGCCAGTTCGCCACCACTGCCAGGCGCCACCTCAGGGCCTGCTCGCCTGCCATTCCTGCTTGCCCGCCACC